TGTTCATTTTAGCTAATCTTGTGGGTGGGAGGTGCCACCTGTAAAACATTTTATACAAATTTTCTTGTACACAGTGGCCAATGTTAGTTTCCGGTTTCTCTCCCATAGATCCTGCCAATTAACTATATTAATATTATAACCAAAATTTTGAGCTCACTTTACCATAGTTTCCTTTATTTGTCCTTCCACCATTTTATATTCCAATAGATATTGATGAATTTTCTTTATCATCTTTTCGTCCATTCCTAATAAGATTTTATCTAATGCCGTCAATTCATTTTTAATACCCCATTCCTTTTTATCCTTCATATAGCGTGATTTAATCTGTAGGTGTGCCCACCATTCCAATTCTACTCCTTCATCTTGTAATTCTTTTCTAGAGTTTAGTTAGTTTTCTTTTCTTATGACCATAATACCATAATACATTTCAATCTCTTCTTGTATAACTTTGTTTCTTGCAATCCCTTGGTATCTCTGTCACTTTTCCTTTAAAAAAAATCTCAAAACAAGTTATATGGGATTTTCAGGTAGTCTTTAATACAAGTAATTTATAGTATGTAGTATGATGCCATGTGCCAGATGTGCATCTTCAAACATTTACTGTATTTCCCATAGCTATATATCAGGGTCGGAGTAGAGAGTTAAATAACATAACACTTATTTAAAACCCAAAATGTACAGTAGATGTATTATCCTGCACTTTAAAAAAAAATCCAAATATTTGGCACTAAAATTGTAAATTTGTCTGAAATTCTGCATGATAATCTGCCAGGGCAATGCTACTGTGCTTGCCAAAGGCATGCAGTTATATTAACATTTAATAAAATTGTGGGCATTTCTGACTTTCTTATGATCGCTTTACATTTCCAAATTCTGGTTTCAATTTGATTCTGAATTTGATATGTGGCATCTGAAAGGGCTCAAGTCAAATCAGGTTATTTTAGAACTGCCAAACTGGGATACAAAATAAATCTTGTGGATAGCGAACTTTCTCATGTGTAAAGAAGTACTCATGCATAAGAAGTACTTTATATATATCTTCTCCTCTAGCATGTTCATTCTCTGTTTGCTACATCCCAAGAACACTGAGAAAAGATTTGCAATAATAAAAGCTTTATTTCATGTGATGTAATATGTTTTCTTTCTTCTCAATTCACAGATTGCAGTAGATTTTTAAAAATATTTGTTTACCATGTATGATACCATTTTCAGGCCCTGAAACTGCAGTGATCTACTGACCTCTAGTTGAGAAAAGCAAGATCACTATTTAACTCAGTTTTTTTTATTTTAAAATATATTTTTTTCCAACATAGTTTCAACAATTTCAGCAATTTCCACTCAGTGTATGCATAAAAACAACATTCATGTTCAGTATTTGCTATTCAAACCTCTTCTTGTTCATTTAGAACAAGAACAACAACATTCTATTGGTATCTTTTAGCAGCTTCACTGGTGTGTATTCCCAAGGGAGCTGAGTAACAATTTAAACATGACTTCCCAACAGTTTGAAACAGCAGGAATACCTACTCTTATTTTTACATTGGTTCCATTGGAAAGTGTGCAACTGGAATTGAGCCCAAATAGTATCAGTTCTTTGATGGTTTTCATTACTCCTAAACATACACATTCATTTTGTTTTTGGACAAGTATCTCTTCCATGGCTTTGGTTGAATAGCTAAGGATGTAGATTCTGACAACCGTTATGGTTCTATGATGATGCTGATTATGGATTTAGTATTTGTTATTGTTATTTAATTTGGATAAATATGCTTTAGTCTAATACATTATATGTACTACCTTTTTCCCAGATAAAATTGTTAATTTAAGCTATCGTTCCAGTTCATATCAAACCCGATTTATACAAGAAATCATTCCAATCACAAATGATACAGAAATCTGATTTTTAGAGACTCCAGAAATGAAAAGAACGAGTTGGTAGAATTTTTTTCTCCCCTCTTTAGAATTATTCACAATAGTTCCTTTTACAGTTTCACTAGAGAATGTAAATATATATATATATAATCACTTTCTGTAAGGGAACTACTATGAGCAATAGTAAATGGAGGAGAAAAAAAATATAGCTATATCTATCTATCTATCTATCTATCTATCTATCTATCTATCTATCTATCTCTATAGCTATAATTATAGGTATAGCTACCTACCATCTATACACACACATATACTCATATGTATATACATATATACATACCTGTCCATACATGCACACATGCAAGGGCGCACACATATACCCTGTTTTATTTCTATGGCTCCTTAATCCCTATATTTCACTTCCTCTCTTTGAAGAATGAATGGCTCCTTCAGCTAAAGGCTACTACACTGAGCTTTGGGTGCTCACATGGATCTGTAAACTTGGATGGGGGAAAAAAAAGTACAATTTTATTTTCACAAACCTCTAAATGAAATTTAGCTTTTTAAAATTCAATTACATAGATGGACAAGCTAATTTACGGCTTCTAAACTCCAATGCTGTTTTTGATTTAACAAATCTCTAAAATTTTTATAGAATTGTAATTATATCCAAAATTGTTGCATCCTAAAATACATAAAATAAAACTGTTGACTTACAACCGTTCATTTCGTGACTGTTCAAAGTTAGTGATCAAAATTCAGACACTTGTCAACTGATGGTGGTCATGTGATCACCTTTTGCAAACTTCTGACAAGTACATCAATGAGGAAGCCAGATTCACTTAACAACCGGATTACTAACTTAACAACTGCAAGTGAATCACTGTTAAGTGATTCACTTAAAAACTGTGGCAAGGAAGGTCATAAAATGGGGTAAAATTCCCTTTACAAATGTCTCACTTATCAACATCAATTTTGGGCTCAATTGTGGTCATAAATCAAGGATTACCTGTATTGTCTGATTATTAATAAAGTACTACATATACTATATTTCTTATTTTTAAATATTGTGATAACTGTATTGGACAATAACTGATTTTCTTTATAATTCACTATGTATCTATGTATTTTATTATATGCATTTAAATACATTTTTTTCCAAAAAAGTGCGCATAGATATGACTAGACTCCAAGAAGGTCCATGGTACAAAAAGGTTAAAAACTCCTCATATAGCATAAGGAGAGACAGAGAGAAACCTGGCCAAGCTTTCAAAATTCTGTTATTCTAATTTACTGTAATCAGCAGCATTCCCGGTATCCCTGCTGTTCTTGCTTGTTTCTTGACCTTGAGCAGTTTTAAATGAGTAGGACTGTAGCAATGCTTTGATTCTTTGAATTATATTTTTTAAAATAATGCTATGTTCTTTGAGATATACTGATATAGAGAACAGCAAAGCACCAGCTTCTTACATTACTTTTATTTGCAAAAATTCCTCTGGGTTTCACAACTATGTAAGCAATTTTTCAGCAGAAGAATGAAGAGGTCATCGGAGTTCATTACCTCATTTAGAATGTGTCCAGGCGTTCACAAGAAGGGCAAAGAGATTGTGGACATTAAAGGAAGAGATATCACACTAACAAGAAAAGTAGGTATTGCCAATGTCATGGGGTTTTTTTAGTTATTAGACATGGCTATGAAAGCTGGATCATCAGAAAAGCTAAACAAAGAAAAAATGATGCCTGTGAATAGTGTGCTGGAAAAGAAAACAGTTGAAAATACCTTGGACTACAAGAAAAACAAATAATTCAATATTAGATGAAATAAAAAAAGAATGTTCACTGCAAAGAACTAAAAATGTAATATTTTGAAAATAAAATGTGGCAAAAATCTCTGAAGAAGAAACTGCTACTTTGAAAAAACGGAAAGCAATGAAGAAAGACGCAAAGTATATACCGGTAACTGAAAATAAACATCAAAAGTTAAAAGAACTCAAGTAGTTACTGGCACTTATGATGAAATGATGTTCACTGGATCACAAAGTTCAAAGCTTCTAAACTATTAAACAAAAAACTAAGATTCGGAGGGAAACTTAGAGAAACGAGGGGAAGAGGAATGAAATAATTTTTCCAGTTTGTCATCTGGCAAATTTTGTCAACCATTTGGATCACAGCAGTGGTGGGTTTCAAATTTTTTTATTATCGGCTCTGTGGGTGTGGCTTGGTGGGTGTGGCATGGCTTGGTGGGCGTGGCAGGGGAAGGATACTGTAAAATCTCCATTGCCACTCCACTCCAGGAGAAGGATACTGAAAAATCCCCATTTCCTCCCGATCAGCTGGGACTCTGGAGGCAGAGAATAGACGGGGCTGAGGCCAGTCAGAATTTTTACTACTGGTTCTCCGAACTACTCAAAATTTCCACTACCAGTTCTCCAGAACTGGTCAGAACCTGCTGAAACCCACCTCTGAATCACACCCGTTTTGTGAGATCTATTCATTAGCTCAAAAATATTGGGGACTTCTGACCTAAGACATTGGGACTAAAGTAGACTAAAGTAGAAGATGAATAGTTTTTTTAAAACTGCTTTTAATTAATCTTAATGGTTGAATTATATTGATTGTTTAATCTGAGATTTCATTGGGTATGCCACCCAGAGTCACATGCAAATGAGATGGCTGGCTATATAAATTCAATAAGTAAATAAAAAAATAGATTAAAAATTATTTCATTTTATATGAATTCTTCCAGATGATGTGTGAATAGTTTGAGAAATATTTTTCAAATCATAATATATATTATTTGCTTCAGTATATATTTTTATGTTCCAGCACTATTTTAACACATTGAAAAGAAAATTTTAATAAAGGTTTTTCATTTAGCAGTTTTTATTATTCGTTTAAACATTATTTTGCTGTTTAAATTTGACACTTTGCACATATTACTAGTAAAGTATGAGTAAATGTCAGTATATTTATATTAATTTCTGCATTGACCTTTAACCATGAAACCTCATCATGAACATCTCATAAAACCACACGCATACCTTAACCTGCAGCTTCCTAGTTTATCGGGGTTGAAGAATGCTACATCAATGCCTACTTGTATATTCCAAATATCAACCACTTGTTACCTTATCTTTTTTTTGCTTTTCATCCTGATATATGGTCCAGTGTTGTCCATCATTGCCATAGGCGACTTTATAGGAACCCACAAACTGAACATGACCAAAATCTTTAGCTCCTTGAGTAATGATGCCAGTGACTTTTGTAGGGACAAGAAGATCAATCTATAAATCAAAGCAAAATAAAATCTAGGTTAGAATAATTTGAGTTTCCAGACTTAAACAACAACAACAACAAACACCTTAAAATGTATTGCTTTCTTTATCATATTATGAAAGATCTGACTGATAGAAGTAAAAGAAATATATTAATGTTTTTGGTTAATGGAATGAATACATTTTCTTTCACCAATCAATTTCCCCCCCAAAATATTACTTTAAATACTGAAGAGAAAATATTTACAAAAATTCTGATTATGCAAGATGGATAAAATTTTAATATAAAACAATTTTCACTTGTTCAGTTACCTCTATTTCCTGGATACAAAACGAGGGGGAAAATCCCTCAAATTGCATTTTTGATTCTTTTCCTTCAATAGTTGTTTCCATTTTTGCCATCCTGTTTTCTATATAATTTTACAATTTTACAATTGTATAATTGTAATTATAATTACAATTATAAAAATTTTACATTTTTTATAAAATTCATTCTTACAAAAAGAATTAGTATTTTAAACATTAACACTATTGCAAGATTTTGGCTAGTGATCTAAAACCGCCTTTTTCCAAGGACCTTGGTGTCTTCACATTCTGACCCACCCTACTGCTTTGATTAGTAACTTGGTAGTTCCTACTGCTCACACATATATTAAACCTGGCATATTAAAATATGGGGCTCTTGTCCATATGCAGTTTTTCTAGTGATTAAAATGGAAAGAGTGAAATAATTCCTATAGCAGTATTTCCTGACTATGCAATCAGTAGTTTCAGTGTTTCTTTTGGAGGTACTGTAGATCAATCTCACAAGATATAAAAAACAAAATTTAATTTTAAAAAAGGAAAATAAAAATTGTAATAACACTATTTTCAAAATCAAAGGAAAACATCAATTTTATTGAGAAATTTTTAATAACAGTGTTCCAAGCAGAACAAAATATGACACAAAGCTGCTATAAATAAAAGAGAACATGCTGTAAATAGATTGCAGTAGCATTTTCATTTATTATTTAAAATCATAATTACTAAAGAAAAGTATTTATTTATGCATAGCCTGAAATATTCATTCAGTTGCTTAGCTTATGTGAAGAACTAAAAGATGGGAGAGCAATCCCCAATCTCTTCTAGCATTGATGATGTTACGTAGTTTGGTAATGAAACATCTACAAGAAAAAAACCAAGCTCAGAAAGCACCAAGGACCCCACAGAAGATTTGCTCACCACAGAGAAATAAATATCAGAATACAGAATAATAGAGTTGGAAGGGAGCTGTGTTCTAGTCTAACCCCTTGCTCAAGCAGGAGACTTTATATCATTCTGGACAAATGGCTGTCCAATCTCTTCTTAAAAGCCTCCAGTGATGGAGCATCCACATCTTCTAGAGAAGCCATTCCACTGATTAATTACACTCAGTGATAGGAAATTTTTTCTTAATTCTAGGTTAGACATACCCAGTTGCCACAGCGATTCATTGTATGCTTTAGCCTCCTGTCCCCTAATCAACTTCAACTGTTGCTTCTCTGCACTCTTTCTAGAGTCACAACATCCTTTTTCTATTGTGGTAAACAGAACTGGATGCAATATTTCAAGTATGATCTCACTAATGTAGTATAAATCGGGACTATTACTTCACATGATCTTGATGCTATCTCTTTGTTGATGCAACCTAGGATTGCATTAGCTTTTTCTGACAGCTATAGCACACTGCTGGCTCATAATAATTGTCCAGTAGGACTCTTAGATCTCTCTCGGTTTTTAATGTAAATTCATTTCTAAACTCACCACTTAATTCTTCAGAATTAGTATGTGGAGTTTCTGTTCCTCTTTATTTTACTTAGACTTTTTAAAAATAGAAATTCCAAATTTTATTCTAAGTATCTCTTATCCCCCCTTTTCTCAGCTTCAACCCAGCATTTCTACCTTCATTTTAAAAAGACAAAAAAGGGCTGTCTCCCAAATAGAGAAAGGAATTAAGATATTGCCTCCATCCATGTGACAGAGAACTGTCTCTCATAAAATTTGTACTGGGAAAGCTTGCAGTTTGAAAGCAAATTGACATTTTTAACAGATTGTTTGCCAAGAGATTATTAAGCAAAACTGCAGGATATTTTCCCATTATTGAGTACAAATCTAGCAATTCTGGTCATTACCAATTCTATCAGGACATCAGAAAAAAAAGTTAATGTGTTTCTTAGTATTCCCCACAGTTTTAATGAGAAGTTGATTCAATTTAAATAACTGTACTTCATACATATGCAATTCACAATAATTATTGCTGTTTATAACCCATTAAAATGATAGGAAAACAATCTGGTTTTATCTCTTCATGTCTGAGTCCTTTGTAAATAAAATATTCTCATTCAAATTGCAGTATAATTATTTTCAATTTTCAAATTAATTGTTGCTTGTTATAGAATTAAATACAGTCATTTTATGTAGTATAGGTGCCCAGTTTCTAATTATTATAAATAAGCAAGTAAATATATGTGTGTTTGCTTACTTAATTTTACAGTTCACTTAATTGTAAATGTCTCTAAACAATGTTTGCTGAGAAATAATATTCTTAGTTATAAACAATGCCTGCTTCAGGGTGTGAAGCTCTCTTATCAAACTACAAAGTCTTTCTATAGACAGCTATTCAAAGTTACAACAGCCAAAACATCTTAGAGAGATATTTACGCGAGTGACAGTCGAACAGCTTGACACAATGATCAGATATGGGAGATTCCATTCTATACCCTATAATAGACATCTCTGCATTTGTGGAGCGGCAGAGGAAGAAGTCCTGACTCACATCCTATTTGATTGTTGCCGGTATAGAGGGTGAGAGACAGGTACCTCGGTCTATATACTAAATGAATGATCCATTGGGAACCCCATATCAAAACAACTTACCTGATGTGCAGCCAGAATTAGAAAACAACATTTAATACAGCAGAGAACTTGAGCAAAACGGTTTTGTTGAGATTGACATATGTGGGACTGATTGGGGTAGATTGTAGGGGTGACACTGAGATGTAATTTTATCATATTTTATTTATCCATATATTAAATTATTGTATTTTATTCCAATTTCATCTTAAATTGTTTTTATCAAATTTTAATAATAATTTGTGTTTTGAACTCTGTACTTTGATATGGCCCATGGGCTAATCAATAAAGTAAACTAACTACAAAGTCTTTCTGAAAAGCTAAATTTAGCGGCCTTCCTGAATACCAGGAGTATTGATGCTGAGTCAAGCTCAATTAGAGGACTATGCTAAAAAAGCGATGGAGGAGGTATACTCTTGTGGTCCCCAGTGATAAAAACCTCCTCAGAGATGGGTTTGAAGGGTTCTTACTGAATAAGCAGAAATTGCTGGGCAAAGGTGGCGCCATACAATCCAGTCATACAATCCAATACCATACAATCCAGTCATACAATCCAATACCATACAATCTACAAAACATGTAGACCTTTAAAGACTTTTAATTACATCTGGAAGCAATTGACAACCAGTACAACTTTCCCAATAGTGGTAGTGTCCAAAAGAAATCCACATTTATTTAGTGCAGCAAATATGTATTGTTTGTGTATTTTGTCAAATGGTGTTTCAACATCTAATGAGAAAATTACAAATTTAACTTTATATTTATTCAAGTCCTTTAGATTTACAACTAATTGGATATTATCTGCTGCTTGCCTAGTTTTTATTAGTCCTGCTAGATCATTCTTAATAACAAATGATATCATTTGCTATAATCTATTGCTAATACTGTTGTTAAAATTTTTGTATCAATGTTAGTAAATGATATTGGGTGTGATCTTTACTTGCTTTTAATATAACTGTAATATAGGTCTCAATAAATGCTGGTGATAAAATTCCCTTATCAAATATCTCTTTTTACAGGTGGCAGTTTTGTCACAAAAATATCTATAAAATTTTTATATAACTCATTAGGGAGCCCAACTAAACCAGATGTTTTACCACTTGCTGTTTTTAAAATTATTTGTTTAATCTCTTCCTCAGGTAGTGAAGCAAATAAAAGTTATTTTTGTATTTTATCTAAAAGTGGTAGATTAATTTTATTTAAAAAGGGTTCTATATCTTCATTTGATACATTCTCTGGTTTACTAAACACTTCTGAATAAAATTTTAAAAGTTGACAGTTTATATCCATAACATTTTATACATTTTATCTCTTTCACCTTTAAAAATTGGAATCGTTTTCCTATCATTCTTTCGTTTAAAATTATTAGCCAAGATCATACCTGGACTTTTGCCATTTTCTCAGTACCGTATTTTCTGGCGTATAAGACGACTTTTTAACACATGAAAAACTTCTCAAAAGTCGGAGGTCGTCTTATACCCTGGGTGTCGTTCTCCTGTAACCAGGCAGACTAGCCCAAAAGGCTCTGACGAGCCAAGCTCTGACCATCCCAGCTGAGTTGCCTGCTAATCAGGCAACTCAGCTGGGATTGCCAGAGCCATTTAAAAGGAGAAAACTTTTTTTCTTTTACATAGCTCTGGCGATCCAAGCTCTGACAATCCCAGCTGAGTTGCCTGCTAATCAGGCAACTCAGCTTGGATCGCCAGAGCCATGTAAAAGAAAGTTTTCCCCCTCCAGCTTGCTTACCTTAGCTGTTAGTCGCAACACTTGCCTTGCTTCGCTTGCCTGAATCCATTCCATTAGCAAGCAACTCCCAATCAAGCAGGCAGGGAGTTGTGGACTTCAACTCCCAGAATTCCTCAGCCAGCAAAGTAAAGCTGGCTGAGGAATTCTGGGAGTTGAAGTCTACAAGTCTTAAAGTTGCCAAGTTGGAGACCCCTGTTCTATTGGGTAAGTTTTTTCCCCCTTTGGGAGCTTTTAAAAAAATAGTTAATTGGGGTTTTTTTTTAGTTGTTCTTTTTTAGACCTAGCCATTTAAAGTTTAGGAAGTTTTAAATTTAGCTTTCATATAAAAATAAAAATAAAATAAAATAAAATAATATTTGTGCAGCTTTCTGAGATTTAGTGTGTTTCTGTAG